GGGGGGGGGGGTCATGGTAAATTGCACCTTTACGGTGATTCAGCCGTCACTGGTTCGCGATCAAACGCCGTGCCGCAGCGGACCGTGGGTATTCTGGTATTCTGCGCGGCGCTCTCTGATCTTTAATGGCCGTCGTGTAACTGCGATCGCTTGAAGAGAGGATTGGAACGAAAGGGGTTGAAAGGCGAGCCAGCTGGGTCGGGTCGGGTCGGGTCGCCACGGTGGCGGGTGGCTGTGCTCCCGGGGAAGTCCCTGAAGGGCCGTCCTCCTCACGGGGTTGGAATCGGTTGTCACGGCCGGCTGCCCCTGCTCGGTCGTCAGATTAAGGAAACAGCAGGGAGGCGCCGTCGCGTATACCCAGAAAACGGTTCCGTTGATTCAACGAAAAGAAAAATTCCCCTAGGGTAATGGAAAATCGCTGAAAGTTGCGGAAAAATTCCATCATATATCCTATAGGTTAAATTTCCATTGACCGGAGGGATTCTACGTTAATTCAATGGAATCATTTTCTGTGTGCGGGACGGCCGGATGGAGCTATCCAGGAGCCGTATATGAAACCGAAAGCAGGCAAGCATATTTGGGCAAGGACGAAAAATCACGGTGTTCTTGATGATTAATAAAACAGCGTACAGAGAAAAAAATGACACCGAATATTTAGCACGCGAGCTGTGTGTCGGCAGTGTACTGCCAAATGATTATTTCCTCTCCAGCCCGGCCTAGGCGATAACGCTCAGCAGTGCTGCTGCGTGCTCGCCCGGGGTTCCGGTCTGTTGGCCGGGAAACTGACCGGCCCGAACCAAACCTACCACGTGACCACCGGAGCGCGCAGTCCGACAAGAACCACCCCCGCTCCATGCCCCTGCCTCCCCCCTCCCTCCTCCCGGACCCCACTCTTCCTTTCGGCCCGCCCCTCTTCTCCGTTACAGCCTTTTCTCCTCGCCTAAAGCTTTAACACCTCCCTCACCTTGTAAAGATTCCCCGTGCCTTTCTTGCCCTGCCCTTGCTTGCCCAACTCCCCCTGTCATGTCACACACACCCCTGTTGAATTCCTCATACATCCCAGTCCAACCTCCCTTGCTTTTCTTTTACGTACCTTGCCTCCTCTCCCTCTCTTTTCCTTTCCCCTGCTTAATTCGTTTTCTCCCTTTAGCTCTCTCCCTCTCTCTCTCTCTCTCTCTCTCTCTCTCTCTCTCTCTCTCTCTCCCTCTCTCATCCGAACCGAACTCAGCAAGGTTGACAATTCTCCCTTTCTCTCTTGCTCCATTTCTGTCTATCTGTCCCTCTCTGTGTCTCTCTTGCTCTCCCCCTCTCTTTCTTTTGCTCTCTTTCTCTTCCTCTCTCTCTTTCTCCTCCACTCCCGTCCCGCGCGCGTGGTGTGAATGTGGCAGTGTGTGTTTCCGATCGCCTCTCTGCCGGCTGCCGGTCTGCTCTGGCCTCGGGGCTGGCCCTGCGCCGCCCCTGTATCGGCCCACGGCCCGGACATACGTGAGCCCTATGAGCAATTCATGTGCACTGTAAAAATTATATATATCGGAAACATTTTGATTTAAAACGATCGGCAGCTTCTAATCAGTTTGTTTCGCTGACCGACAGTAAACGACAAAACCAAAGTCGTAGAAGCAAACCTCCGGCGCGGTATAACGATGAAACTGCCCCCGCTCTTCTTCTCGCTCCTTCCCGTTCTGTCGTGAAAATTACCGAGACTCTTGAAAGAAAAGCAGAAAACTTTCCCCCACGTTCCGTCGAGTTTGAGCCCTTTCCCCTCTCTAGATCCTCCCTCCCTTCTCCTCTGGGTCTGGGCGTACCTCCCCTGACTGCCCTCCCCTCTACCCCCACCTGCGCCCCCCCTTTCTCTCCCTCGCTGCCACCCCCTGCCTCTCACTATCGTCACCCCTTCTCACCCCACTATCTCGCTCCTCACTTTCACACGCTTGCCTCCATATTTAGTGAGCGCGAAGATTCATTATGCGGAGGGAGCAGGTTAAGGAGGGGAGGGAGGGAGGGAGGGAGAGAGTCCTGGGCGGCGGATGACGGAGAGCCTCCATAAGAAGAAGAGAGAAAGCATGCCCAGGGGAGGCAACGGCGTGGGCGGGGATGCAATGGCAGCGCCTGATCCCGTGGCCCTCGCTCCACTCTCGTTCCACCCGCGCTCCCCGCTCCCTATCCCATCCTCGTATGTACCACCTGACCTTGCTCCTGACCCGGCTATAACAGCGCTCTTGCTGTGCACCTGCTGGCGGACAAAAAATGAGCTCCATACCAGAGAGGCATGTTTTGCGAATGTAATGAATCACACGATACTCTCATGGAAAAATTGTACTTTTCGTCAGTACAACACAGCATGCTGGAAGTAGGGTAAGACAACTCCGCGAACCAAACTGGTGTACAGGTTCAGCAAAGGAATTCTTTGCTAGACGTCGGAATCCTTGCAAACGGTGTGTTCGCATTGCACAGAAATAATTTGCAAGCTTGCGAAGAACTAGTTCGTATTACAATGCTTCAAAATTCTTTCCAAGCTGCAAAGAAATAGTTTGCAATACGATTCTATTATTTGCAAGCATTTTGCATTGTACACGGGGTGACGTTAACGATTTGTAATGAAACAGGTTGGCACACTTAAGTGATTTCTATCAATTATATTCCTTCGTTTGTTTCTCTTTCGTTTGTTTGTTTTTTCCATTTAAAACGGAGGTGTCCCCATTTCCTAAGATCCTTGCTGTCCCCCCCCCCCCCCCCCCTCGCTGCTGTGAAAGAGGAGACAGCTTCTGCCGAGATGTCTCTCGGACCCGAGGCGCACCGTGCGGCCCGGCCCCGCCCCGCCCCCGGCCCGGGCTCGGCACTGCGGGATATTGTTCCATGCCAAGTGTCAGCGTCCCGCGTGGCGCTCCAAACCCCTCCTCCCTCATCTCCCTCGCAGACTCGGCGATGAGCTCGGCGGCGACCGGCGACGACACGGCGAGACTTTGCAGACAAAAACCAACAGGCGCCAACTCGGCGCCACTACCAGATATCATTTACCATACGGTTTGAGAAGGAACCGCCTTGGTTTCTGGCTGAAGCGAGGTTCACAGAGTCCGTGCTACTGTAGGTTTTGTGCGGCCCTAAAGCCTAAAGCTGTCGCTAGCTGGGCCGCCTTGCTGAGGATCATGTCGGCTTTTCCTCTATTCGGCCTGTTGCCTTACTGCCCACTATTTTTTTTTTGTTTGGTCCACCCACACGGTGCTGAAGCAGACCCGTTGCTCAAGGGATGACGCTCCACCTCGCCCCTCTCCGCGCCCGGAACCGACCGACACAGACTGACCTTGTCGTCCAGCGACACAATGTCGAGGACTTGCTGGTCTACAACAGGGGGACAAGTCAAGTGCGAGTCGATTTAATTAGCCACCGAGGGGCCTCCCCACTCTCTCTGTCTCTTACTCTCTCCACCCTATCACCTTCCCCCCCCCCCCTTTTT